GTATGTATCATTGAAGTTTGGGGTGAAAAGTGGGAGAGAAAAGAACCCAAGCACAGGGACCGGCTTCATTCATTAGGAGATTCCCAGTCTCTGTTACGGAAGCGATGTTGTGTTTTTTTTCTTTTTTTCCTTTTTTTCTCTCTTTCTTTTTCTCTCTATCTTATTTTTTTTTTTTTGGAGAACCCTTTTTTCCCCCTCAGATTTCCCTCCCCCTCCCCCTTTTGTTTTTTTTTATTTATTTTTTTATTTTTTTTAGAATCTTTTTTTCCCCTCAGATTTCCCTCCCTCTTGTTTTTTTTCTCTCTCTCTCTCTTCTCTTCTCCCTCTCTGGTTTTTAACCGACCCGAAGAGAGTAAAAATAATATATATATACCCCCCCCTCACACACACACACCGAAAAAAATAGTTAAGGGAAAATATATATACAAAAATATAAATGTTTTCCGTCTCCGTACCCTTAGGAAGCGAGGAACAGAGAGAGAGAGAGAGAGAGAGAGAGAGAGAGAGAGAGAGAGAGAGAGAGAGAGAGAGAGAGAGAGAGAGAGAGAGAGAGAGAGAGAGAGAGAGAGAGAGAGAGAGAGAGAGAGAGAGAGGGGGTGGAGAATTAGTGGGGGGAGGGGGGAAGAAACAGACAGAGAAAACCATACAATGTATATATATATACACATTTTTTTAGAATAAGAAAACTATAACGAGCGAAGCGCGAGAAGCGAACGGAAACAGTGGGAATATGAGAGCATGAAAGAGAGAGAGAGAGAGAGAGAGAGAAGGGAGGAGAGGAGAGTAGGAGTAGGAGGGGGAGGAAGAGAGAGAGAGAGAGAGAGAGAGAGAGAGAGAGAGAGAGAGAGAGAGAGAGAGAGAGAGAGAGAGAGAGGAGAGAGAGAGGAGAGAGGAGAGAGGGGGGGGGGGGCTAGAGGAAATGGGAGGAGGGAGGAGAGGAGGAGGAGAGGGCCCTGGGAGCGACGCTGGCCTCCCGTCCTCAGTAAGGGCCCGGCCGGCATCCAGCCAGCACAGAGACCTTACGCCTTCCTTGCACTGGATCTTTTATGTCACAAGCACGCAGCGCTTCGTCCCCCGAGGTAGTGCTTGTGCGTGGTCCATATTTTTGCTAATAAACTCCTTTCTTGTTTCGAGCGACTGATTGCTGCTATTCGTTGTTTGTTGTTTTTTTTTCATTTTCCAAATGCTCTTTTTGGATGGATTTGTTAAATACAGACACGAGTGGTGATATTTTTTTTTGATGTGGCGTCGATGCGATGTGACATTCTCAATGATATATATATATATTTTTTTCCTTCAAAGAGAGAGAGAGAGAGAGAAAAAAAAATATATGGTTTCTCCCCCACCCCCTATACCCCACCATGGCACTCCAAAGCAAAATGGATTGTGTTTTGTAAGCAAATCTTGGCGTATTTACCCGCCTGACGTATGAAGCATAGGGGGGGCGTGATGTAAAAGTGTTTATGAAGGCACAGGTGATATCATTTCGATGCTGAAGTGGAGATGAAACTGCCTGTTATAAACTTAGAAAAATACAAAAGTGTACTGCAAATGGAAACCGATGTAGAAAAGTATTATTATACGTATTTTTTTCGTCGTATTTCATTTTAATTTCTTTTCATATTCTCTATATCCAGTCTTTCTTATTTTTTTCTGAATTACAAGTTGAAAATTTATGGACCGTAAATGAAACCTGGCCTGGCCTGACCTCGAAAGAGTGGTGACCTTGCCCGCGTGGGGGATGACCTGTCGCTAGGTCCTCTGGTCGTGACCTCTGACCTCCCCCCCCCCCCTCCTCTTCTTCCCTCTGCTCAGGACGTCAACATCGGTCTGCATTGTGTTAGGTCAAGAAAAAGGGGGGGCGGGGGGGCGGTCATTAGGGGTGTGAACGTTCGAGGTCAAATGAGGTGGTGTTTGGTAACCTCTGGAAAAAAAAACGCGTGGTAGAGATTGAAACCGAAACGGCCAGAGTGGTGGTTAAAAGGAATATGACTTTTGGAGGTGGGGGGGGAGGGGGGATGTGGCAAAGCTAGTTGTGTCATGCCATACGTAGTGTTTCAGGTGTATAAGAGCATCATATTTTTCTTATTTGAAAATCCCCCTCCCCCTCCCTCTCCCTCCCTCTCCCTTGCCATTTCCTCTCCCCAACCATCATCTTGTGTCTTGCCCAGCCAAGCTCTGTCTATAGCCAGTGAGGCGGGGTTTAAACGGGGTCTGAGCCCTCTCTCCCACCCTTTCCCCTGCCCTTTCCCCTTCTCCCCCCCTCCCTCCCCATCGACTCTTCTCCCACCCTCCCCCGTTGCCTGCCCTCCCCCTTCCCTCCCCTCCCTCAGGCCACCCACCTGCGCGCGGCCACGTGGTCTACCCTGACTCAAGGGTGCACCAGGCCACCCTTCGTCCCTTCCCTTCTCTCCCCCTCCCTCCCTCCCTCCCTCCCACCCTCCTCTCTTCTCCCCACCCCGTCGCCCCCCCCTTGTTCCATCCCTTCCCTTCTCTATTGCCCCGTCCTACCCTCCTCCTCTCTCCTCCTCCTCCCCCTCCCCTACTCCCCTATTTTCTCACCGCTACACCTGGTTTTGTGACAATTAGTGATCCGAACCTAATTGCAACATGGGAGTTTGGAGGGAAGAGTTGTCATTATTTTTCTCTCCCCTCCCCCCCCCCTTCCTTCTCTCCTTCCCTCCTCCTCCGCCATCCCCCCCCCTTTTTTTTTTTTAAACTAAGGTGTCGTTGAAGCGTGACACGCATGCAAACGCGCGGGCAGGGTTTACACGTGTGTGTGTGTGTGTGTGTGTGTGTGTGTGTGTGTGTGTGTGTGTGTGTGTGTGTGTGTGTGTGTGTGTGTGTGTGTGTGTGCTTGCTTGCTTGCTTGTTTGTTTGTTTTTATATATATGTATGTTTATGCATATCTGTTTATGTGTGTATATGCATGCGTGTGTGTGTGTATCTGTACATGTACGTTTTCTTCTGCGCGTGCACACAGCCCCCGGCGCCCTCCTCTTCATATTTGCGACGGGCTTTGTCGCGTGCCATTCGTGTAATTATTTGTTTATTGGCTTCGTGGCCTGTTTTGGAATGCGCGTTTGTGCTGCTGCGGATTTATTGACGTTAAGCGATGCAACATTGATAAGTGTGCGTATCGGGCCTTTTTTTCCCACCCCTCTTCTTTGTTTATGTTTACTATTGCAGGTCGATGCTCCTTTTTTTCTTTTCTATTTATTGTTTTTCTCTGTTTCGTTGCTGTTTTTTTATTGTGTTCCTGCTTCCACTTGTTCCTTCGGTTGTTAATGTTTTTTTTATTCTTTTTTTTAATGCAAAACACGTGTTTCTTTGCTGTATGTTTCTGTACTTTATTTCCTCTTGTCATGTGAGGTTAAATGTCTTGTGCTTTCTGGTTATTATTGTGTGCGTCCGTGGGGGTTATGTACGTACGCACATGTGTCTGTGTGTGTGTGTGTATTGTCACGGTGATCATTGGTTTTCTCATTGGTAATTGGGGGTGATTTCCTGTTATTTTCTAGACCTTGCTTTATTCTCATCTTTCGCTCCCTTAAACATCTCTCTCCCTACTTCTATAATCTCGTATGGAACGTTCTTTCTACCGCATTCTTGCCCTTTTTTTTCTTATTATTCGTCTTCTTGGGCGCCGGGGAACCTTTCCTTTCCTTTCCTTTCGTCCCCTCCCCTCCTCTCCCCTTCTCCTTCTCCTTCTTCTTGTCCTTCAACTGCCTTTTCCCTTGCCTATCTTTGTCTTTCCGTACTCCTTCTTTCTCTCTTCTCTTTTTTCCATTCCCCTTCCTCTCCCTTCTCATTCCTCCAGTTCTCTCTTCCCTTCCCCTCCCTCCCCGCCTCCTTTCCTCCCTCCCTCCCTCCTTCCCTCCTTCCCCCATCCCTCCCTCCCTCCCTCCCTCCCTCCCTCCCGCCCTCCCTTCCCTTCCCATCCTATCTCCTTCCCTCCTCTCCCCCACCCCTCCCTTCCTTCCCATCCTATCTCCCTCCCTCCTTCCCTCCCTCCCTCCCTCCCTTCCCATCCTATTCTCCCTCCCTCCCTCCCTCCCATCCTATCTCCCTCCCTCCCTCCCTACCCCCCCTGCCCATACCTCCGCGGGCCACTTGTTCGGTAATGGGTGTTGCTAATTGCTGTCCTCTTTGCCCCCTCCCCCCCTCCCCCCACCCCCTTCCTCCCCCCCTACATCCTCGCACCCTACTATAATCTTCTCTACTTTGTTGGAAAGGAGGGGTGGGGAGTGGGGTGTGGGTAGGGGGGGGGAAAGTTTCTTCTTTCCTTTGCCACCATTTCTTCTTTCTTTTCTTCAGCCTTCTTCCTTTCCCTTGTTCTAAGGCTTTCTTCTCCTTCTCCTTCTTCCCTCCCTCCTCTTCCTAATTATATTCCTTCAAGACCTTCATCCCTCCTCTTCTTCCTCCAATTCCTTCTCCTCCTCCACCTCTCTTCATCTCCTCCTTCATCCCCTCCTCCTCTTCTTCCTCCAATTCCTTCTCCTTCATCCTCTCCTCCTCTTCCTCCTCCTCCTCCTCCTCCTCCTCCTCCTCCTCCTCCTCCTCCTCCTCCTCCTCCTCCTCCTCCTCCTCCTCCTCCCCCCACGTTATCGCGTCTCCCTTGATTACATTTGTGCCGAGCGGGTGTTTGCCGAGTTCTTCCCTCTCCCTCCTCTCCCCCTCTCCCTCCCCCCTTCCCTCTCTCCTCCTCTCCCTCTTCTTCCTCTCCCTGCCTTGCCTTTTCCCCCAAATCTCCCGTTATGTTTGGCAATGTTGATGGTGTGTTTTACCTCGTCTTTTTTTTTCCTCCACTTTCTTCCTTGCTTCCGTTTTCTTTCTGTCGTTAAATATGGAGGGAAGTGTGCGACTTTTATTTCTAAACTTTTTGGCATTTTTTTTTTTTTTTCATTCGGATTTTGTGTCTGTTGGTGCGAAGGTCGAGAGAGGTTTCTGTTCGCATGTAATGTTCCTTCTTTGTTTTTCTTGTCTTTTTTTTCTCCTCT